AGAGTTCAAGCCCAGCTCGAGCTACACAGCAAGTTCAAGGACAGCCTAGACTATACGCTCTCTTAAAAGAAGACTGGAGATGACTAAAAGTACCCCCTAGTATCAAGAGTTGTTATCACGTACAGAAAAAACAGCAGCTAAAAAATGAAAAATAGTGCCAGTAAGCCCCACAACCTGAATTCAATCCCTAGAAACTCACAGTGGACGGAGGAACCCAACGCCTACAAATTATCCTCTGACCTCCAGGCCTATATGTGTGCATACACAGGCATACACACAGACACACACAGACACACAAATAAATCAAAATGTAAGAAAAAAATTTAAAGGAAAACATCAGAGAATCGAGGGGATAATAGCAAACAAACTAGCAAATATTATTAGAGCCCTGTGAGGAGAGGAGAGAAAATGACACAGTAAATATGTAAAATACCAAGAAAACGTCAAATTTGATGTAAGATACCAACTTACAAGTTCAGGAAGTTCAGTGAACTTCAAGCAAAAACAGAAAACAAGCTCAACACCCAGGTACACTGCAGTCAAACTTCTGAAATCCAAAATGAAAGATTTTTAAAGCAACGAGGAAAGGAACACCACATACACAGGAGGGGAAGAAAAGTATGAATGGCACTGACTTCTCAGGACAGCAACGGAGACTGGAAACTGTTACAGGGTACAAAAGACAGTTAACACAGAAGCCTAAATCCAGTGAAGCAGGGCTTGGGGTATGGCTTAGTAGTGGAGGATTTGCCTAAAATGCACAAGGGCCTAGGTTCAATTCTCAGTTACCTGTCCCCCCTCAAATCCAAGACTCCTTCAACCTGGTATGCTAGCTTATTTTTGTAAACTCAGCATTTAGGAGGCAGAGGAATGCCACAAGCTTGAGGCCAGCCTGTGGCATATTATATAGCGAGTTCTAGGCCAAGTAGAACTTCATAGCAAGGCAGTTTTTTTTGTTTTTTTTTTTTAATGTGTATGAGTGTATTACCTGCATGTATGTGAGTGTATCCGTGTCGTGCAATGCCATGACGATCAGAAGAGGGCTTCAGATTCCCCTGGAACTGGAGTTAAGGATGGTCAGTAGCCGCCATGTGGGTGCTGGGACTTGAACCTGGGTCCTCTGCAAGAGCAGTCAGTGCTCTTAACCACTAAGCCATCTCTCCAGCCCTGACAGTCTTTTAAAAAAAAAAAAAAATCAGGCGTGGTAGCACATGCCTTTAATCCCAGCATTTGGGAGGCAGAGGCAGGTGGACCTTTGTGAGTTCAAGGCCAGCCTGGTCTACATAGTGAGTTCCAGGACAGGTGTGGCTACAGTGAGACACTGTCTCAAAAAGTCCAAAAAATAAATAAATATAAATAAATAAATAAATAAATAAATCTAGTAGCTGAGTGTGGTGGGGCACGCCTTTAATCCCAGCACTCAGGAGGCAGAAGCAGGTGAATTTCTGTGACACTGAGGTCAGCCTGGTCTACATAGTGAGTTCCAAGCCAGCTGGGGCTACAAGGAGACCTTGT